AATTAATTCCTTACCACTTGATTATTGCAGTTGCGCTACTAACTCATTTGTTAAATGCTTAATATTTTTTACTATCAACAATGCACCCCCAGTCAAGCAAAATGACACCGTTTTGCAAAACAAATATTTAAACAATTTTTTTATATATAAAAAAAACACAAAATAACATAGTTTTGATGGATTTATTTTTAACATCTATTTTTGAACGGTTCATAGCCCCTAGGAACACACAAGCCCGCTTTTGTTCTTCTTCTTTTTTTTTTAATTTAATCTTTAAAAAATTTTTTAAATTTTATTGATTTTTTTTAAAAGATTAACTCTTTCATAATCTAGATAATGTCTAATACAATGTATATAAACCATGAAAACATTTTATTCTTACCATAAACTTAATTCTATTATAAAATTAAATCAAATTATGAGAAATATAATAAAGTATTTTATTTGGATTTGGGACTAAATAAAAAGCTTAGGAGATTATAAAATTCTCTCTCTCTCCCTCTTTTTTTGGGTTTAACAATAAAGATGTCATTAGATAAAGATCCATATTAATGAAGACTAATTTTTTTCTTAAACAATGTCAGTATACGGTATACATGGATGAATTTAATATATTTGTTTTAAAGTACCATTATTAAGTTATGAATCCAAGAAATCAATCAAGAAAGCGAATCTTATGAGCCACCATGTATGCCAACCTCCTGAAGCTATAAAATTCATTAATATTCTTTGTTTTTAAAATTGTTTAAAATAACCAAGCAATTGAAAAATCTAAGAAAACTAAGAAAATCAAAAAGAAAAAAACCAAGAAAATTGAACAAGAAAAAGGAAAAACATATTAAAAATAAATAAATAAATTCAGTTTAATTTTAAAAATCTAAAACTAATTGAATTAGACCAATTTAACTAATACTGATTGAACCAAATATAGAAAAAAGATATAAAATGAAGATTTTATTAAAACCCTAGATCATTACCAGTAAACGCAACATCACCTATACCTCCTTACCCCTGCTCTTTGAGGGTTTTTTTTGTTTTGATAAAAGACTTGAGTTGTAGGAAACATGAAGCTTAAAGAGTTAACTCTCTCATCAAATACAAATGATTAATGATGATGTTATAGTTATCCAACAAATCTTTCACACTCTTTCACTCAAATAAAAAATACAACACATAGATCTATTAAAAGTACATTAGAATATATAGAGACAACTCCCCTATTAAGTGCAAATGTTTAATGATGATGTTGTAACTATCCGACAATAGCTTTACACTCTTCCACTTCTTTAACAAGGAATACAACACGTAGCTTTATTACATTTACTAGAATACATATAAACAACTACAATACCTTAAAGGAACATGATGGAACTACATGTAAGAAAGAAACGAGAACAATTATGCTTTAACTGTCTAAAAGATTTGTAATTGCTATAAAGAGCACTCTTTAAAAAGTCTTATTCACAATACCATTATTTTCTTCTAAATCTCACTCACATGCTCCTTATTAAAAAAAATCAAGATGTGAGATGAGATCAATAACTGCACGAGCTTTGTACACCACTCCTACCATGTGAGAGACTCTCAACTTTATCATCAAGTGCTACACACTTATTTATCCAAATACTATCTTTGTGAAGGCCAACCCAGACAACTATAATAATTTTAAAAATACTAAAAAGAACATACAAAATACGAAAAGCATTCTAAATTTTATAATGTAAAAGAATGATGCCAAATGCAAAATCTTTCTAGTAGCATTACATAGATTTACTCGGGTGTGGTATCATGACTTTTAATTTAGCTCCATACTTGGCCTTTTTAATCTATATGTTATGTTAAGCTCACCTTTTGTTTTGTTATAAGCATGCTAGCTAAAAAAAATACTATTTAGTTCTTTACCATCATATAACAGGAAAAAGAGAGCACTATAACATATCTCTAAAGTTTTAACAAAAAGAACACTACTTTGTTCTTCGCCATCACATAACAAGAAAAAGAGAGTAGTATAGCACTTCAGGGTCGTGCCCTAGCGGTCCTAGTAGGGCTTGCAGGGTGTTTAGTAGGTCCGAGAATTAGTCGTGTTACTTGTAAGCTGACCCGGATACTTCGGGTTATCAAAAAAAAAAAAAAAGAAGAAGAAGAGAGTAGTATAGAATATCCCTAAAGGTTTAACAAGGAAATGCTCAATATAGAGAACTTTTCTCAAAGTAAAATAGAAAATAAGGAACCATATTTAAGTAGAATAAACAAACACGACTAGATATTTTTGTTTCCATATAATAGAATCTCATTAATGCTATATATATCCTACCAAGACATTCAAAAAAAGAAGAAGCATAAATGGATCCATTCATGATTACCTGACTTTCTCTAAGTTCATAACCACACATTTTACTACTACATATATTAAGGTATAGGCTGTCATTGAGGAAAATGATTTTTTATAATATACAGTACTTTTAAAAAGTAGCATGAACATAAAAAAACCTAACAAATTATGTTATTTTTACCATTATAATAGTCATGAGGAATGGCATATCCTAAAAAAAAAAAAAATAAAAAGTTTGATTTTAAAAAAATATCTCTTATGATTTATAAGGAAACAAATGCAACCCTAACTAGGAAAATATCCCTATAATGCTTTACTCGAGATTCAAATACTTTTAAAAATTATTTGTCCACTATCTTTTGAACTTAACAAATAAAAACAGTAGTATTTTTCTATTTCTCTATTGAATTCTTCATGTATCAAATAAAATATTTATAGGAAGATTTCCATTGAATTATCCAAGCCTTTAAACATGTTTCCTTTTCTCTAATCATGCAAGATCTTCATGTCTCCAAACAAATTCTTCATATCTTCATATCTTTGTGCAACATCTCCCTATACAATTCTTTAACACTTATTTCATGATCACAAAGCATCATTGACTTTCTAAATAATAAATAATAATGTTTTTTATTCTAAGAGAAATAGACAAACTGATCAAACTATCATATCTCTTGCAAGCACATTAACAAAATCATAAGAAGGTAACATGACATGCATATTCTTCTCTCCCTCTTATACTGGTTAAGGCTTTGAAACATGATTGTTTAAAAGATCGTAAAAAATAATGGAGCATAAAAAATATAAACAAACAGCTTTGGGCTAGCCCAAACAACTAACTATTTAGGTTAGACAGATAAGTTGTACTCTTTCTTATATTTCTTCCTTCTCCCTTTCCCAATGCCTATCCCTCTCTCCCTATCTCTATCTATACATCTCCTTTCTCTCACACATACCTTTTCTTCCTCATATATTTTCTCCTTTCTATAATATTCATATTCTCTATCATACGCATGTTTTTTTTTTTACACACTTTCTCCTCTCTCTCTATTTACCCTCCCACAATGCACATACCTTAATATATTTATTCCTAAGATATTAGTGTTAAACTATGCATATAAAATTTTCAATCCATGGCTAGCATTAACCTTTCTATAAATAGTAACACTAATATATTCTATAAAGTGTCTGCATTAATACTCTCTATAAGGCGAGCAATAACATCTACCACTCCATTCTCTACATGCTTGTGACTTTATACAATGAGGTACACTACTCTCCATGCTTTAGAGTTAAGTTTACGTGATCCAGGTATATAAATACCTTGTTCACTAGGTAAGAAATCACATATCATTTAAGTAGAATTTAAACATTAAACAAGTTTTAGATAGAAACATATAATATTCACATACACAAACTCCCTACAACTTTAATTTATTTTATATTCATTTATATTACTTTTCCTTTATATTAATTTAAGTATCAAAGGATCTTGTTCCAACAAGGAACTTATGTTTTGGGAAACAACAACTCTAACAAGATCACCATAGTCTAAGATGCAACTCTTAATAAAATCCAATACAACTTGAAATGCTCGTGACTTCATCCGAGAAAATCACAAAAAATAAAAATAAAAACACATTTTTATCATTGAAAGTTTGATTGAAAATTATTTGGCCATTTAGTCACAACTTTTGTTAACTCTTTTATTGTTTTTAACTGATTTGTGACCATATAACAAGTAGCAAATTATTCAATCATAAAATTCAATAAGGAATGTTTTTTTTTTCTTTTTTGAGTTTATTTTTCATTTGTGACATTTTACAAATTTATCACAAATTATGTAATTTTTTTTAAAAAACCAACTTTCCTCGTTTTTTCTTCTATCAAATTAATTTTGGTGAAAAATTACTAAATGAACGGGAGGATCGTCGTTTTTTATCCTAATTGAATACATTAATTTTGGTGACATAATGTCTTATGGAAGAAGAGGTTAGAATTTAATCAAATTTATATCATGAAAAGAAATGTACATGTATTTACATCTTTACATTTGCATTATTATATTCTTAAATTGCATTCCGTTCATTTCTGAAAAAAAAAGAGAGAGAATAACAGCTATTTAATAGGATTGCAATTTATGCAATAAACTTGTCTAATAAGTTATTTTTTTTCAATATAATTTTTCTATTACTGTAAATACATATATTTGTTCACCGTTCTACAACAATTACTCAATCCAATGAATACATGAACCATGCATATGCGTTAATTTATTTTTTTAACCAAGCCATTTCATATATATATATATATATATATATATGATGAAGTCATGGTACATTAAATGCCACAAATACAATAACCCTATTTGGCCTTTAATTATTTTCTTGTCATGTGGTGTTTTATTTTTTTACCCTTGGAGAAAATGTTTTACTCGAAATTAAATCCATTTGTTAGATTTTAAAACATTGTTACCATGTACTTCAATTAATTTTTTTTTTATATTTAATTGTAAATTATAAAATGACCGCGAGCAATATGCTAGATCTGCCATATCTTTATCAGTTTAAATAAAACTACAAGCAGTATGCAAATAATTTTGTACCTTAAACGACACCATTCCTGGCCTCTTAAGGTTGTTTTAGGTTAAAATCTCTTTTTTGTATGTGAGAGAGAGAGAGAGAGAGAGAGCAGTATCCCTTGAAGATAAGATATTTAATTTCAGTAGAAACTCCATTAACATTTCTTGAATGCAAGACAAGACAAGACATCTTTTGGACTGGTTGGCATACAGTTTCAAATATCATTGATTGCAAGACGAGATATGTATTGTTGGCGTGGTGTTAAAATGAATAAAGAAAAAAATAATTTATATCGCACATTAGAGAAAACAATTTCCTGAATGTTTATAAATATGAATTTTTATTGTGTATTATATCAAGTGAAAATCCATAATGAATGAACTATCTTTTAATGGGTTCTTAATGATATAATATGGATATTTATATGGTAATGAGATTAATTTTTTTAATTTTTTTAATTTCTGTAATTAATTTTAACTTTTGTAATTATTAAAATAAAATTAAATAGCAGCTATTTAGTTTAATTCAAAATATAATTCTCTTATTAATAACCATATTATATAGTTTTATAATAACATTTCAAAGTTTATATAAACCTATTACAGATAAAAAATTATTAATATTTATAAAAATCATATTCTTTCCTTTGTCTTTTCTTTTTATTATTTTAAAGGTTTAAAGATTTTAATTGTATTTTAAAAATGTTATCTCTCTATATGATAAACAAACATCTAAACCATCTTTTTATTTGTTTTCTTACCTAAGTTTACTAACATATATGTATATAATGTCACTAGAACCTACATTTCTTCCATGCCTCTTATTTATTAATTAACAATCCACTATGCTAATTTTCAATATTATTATTATTATAAAATACATTATGTTACTTTCATTAATCTGCCGTACACTTAAAAGTATTAGTTGAAGTATGCACAATTAATAAGTTGATTCAAAAACTTATATTAATAAAAAAGAAAAAAAAAAGAAAGTAAAATCCAAACATCTTATTTTAACTTATTTCTACCACTTTCAACCATCTACGACACAGTTCAATTGGTCGGGCATAGCTGCAACTAAAACAAGTGCAAGTCCTAGGATGAATCATTTCATGTACTCATGTGGTTGGTTTCATACAAGAATGCTTTGTCCTTGGCGGAATTGGGTAATGGAAGGGCTAACACGTCGCAGCCTGTTTAAAGTGTATTTGATGTTTTAGAAGGTTTTGCTTTTATTGTTTGAGAAAATAAATTTTAAAAAAGTTATAAATTATAGTTTTTTAATTAAAATTTATAAAAAATATATTCATGTAAAGTTATAGTATGTATTAATTAATCAAACACTTTTAAAACTGTAATTAGAGTAAAACATGGTTTCAACCGCACTACATCACATCCCCTAACGGACATACTCTTAATACAAGGTTTGGTTTGGTTTGGTTTGCAGTAGAATTGGATATATAGGGGTTGAAATAACCAAAAATCTATAGTATGAGGGCTAAAGTGATTGTCAATCCTGTTGATAGAAGAAACAGCATCCAAGGAGTGTAAATTCAATTATGAATTGACAATCACTCTTGGAGGATTATCATTAAAAAAAATTCAATTCTTCCAATTATTTATTAACCCCGTCAATCTGAGATAGAGGAATTTCCTTCATTGTATATGAAACATAAGTGTGCATGGAAATTCAAATCCTCATCCAGTGATTAGCATTTCAGTAGCAGCGGCATTGCTATTTTGTTTCTTGAGCTTGCAGTCATCAAGATAGTGCTGATAGACATATGAAAGAAAGCCCCATATAGCCAACACCATGGCAATAGCCTTGATAACATCCATTTTGTCACCAAAACAGAAAACGGCCAGCACAGGAACTACAGGCAAACCGAAAGTACTGATGACATTGGAGAAGACTGAGGACACCTCGAAAATCAATCCTACACAACCAATAGAGAAAAGCTGCCAGGATATTGCTGTCCAAATTAAAGTCATGCAGTAGGATACTTCTCCAAGTTTAAAACCTTCCATCTCTTTCCCTAAACCTTTCCATTCTCCGCTAGCAAAAAGTCCCACTAGGACAGCAATGGTAGAAGCTAGTGATGGATAGACTGTCATATCCAAAACCACCTTGAAGGTTTCCTGCTTTAGAACCTTCTTAAAGGCATATTGGGTTAAAGAAAGCAGCAATCCATATCCAGCAGAAGCACCAATAGTGCATATAAATCCGAATGCGTACTTTCTTTTGTAGACTTGTTTAGATTGTGCGGAGTCGTCTTGGAATACAAGGAGGATGGAGGAGATGGTGAGAAGTACTAAAGAATTCACTATGAAAGGGGTGAGCTTAAGGGAGTTGAGGAAGAAAGAGAATAAAGCATTGAAACCCAATTGGGATGCACAAATAAGAGAATAAGTAGACACTGGAAGGTATTTGAGACCAAGTGAATGCAACATACTAACTATGGCTATAAATATGCCACAAGAAATGTAAATTGAAGCAAGGACTAAATTAGAAGGCAAGCTTGTTTCGAAGTTGCTTGTGGAAGGACTTTTTGGTTGTGACAAGTAGAAGGGAAGGAGAATGGGAAATCCTGCAGGCTGCACAAGTGCTCCCATCCAGCTACTATTCCCACCCTTTTCGAAATATAATCTTCCCAAGAGAACGGCCACTGACTGGCCAGCAAGAAGAAGAAATGAATAGATGGCCATTAGGAGCCACCACTTGGATTTTCTCTTTTGAGGTATTGTTGGCTGGCTGGTCTCATTTTCATGCCTAGGTGGGCTTGCCTCTCCGGCTTCTTTCCCTGGAAAGGATGCATAAATGTAGAGTAATTCGGTATATTTACGTTCTAGTCTGCTAGTAAATTGGTTTAGTACAGAGCATAATCAATTATAAACTCATCATCCAATAATGAGCCACTTGAGTTTCTAATATCCTGAGGAATCCATGAGTATGTGGAGTACACAAACCAGTATTTGAAGCTGTTTTCTTCCACTTCAGTTTGCTCTTTCAGACTGAAAAGCATAGATTGCACGTATATATGCTTGGAATGAATTGGAAATGGTACGAAATTGCCCTTCCTGTATATCAAATTTTCGAATGTACTAGAGATAATAACATCTCAAGAAATGAAAATCTTATATATGGAATCCTAAATATCAAACCATTTCCAATCTAAAAAAAAATTATTCAAATAATATATCCTAGCTATCTTTAGGTGATGAGAGATGAAGATAAAAACTATGTCTAATAACCTTTCGTACTGAATTCATACAAGCAATCAGCAGTGTTTCTTTCTGTAAAGTTTAGGACTGGAAGGAAGGAGAATACCAGTCAGGTAAAAGATTGCTTACCCATGACTTGAAGCTGCACTTCCTGAGCATCTCCCATGACAAAACTAAATCCCCAATTGAGCAAGCTAAGAAGAAAGGCTTCTTGAGATTTAAAGCGAGAGGAGTTCTCATTTTTTTCGTCGATAATAAGGATATACAATAAAAAATAAAAATATTTTCGAGCCTATGTAAATTTGTATTTTTGTTGCTTGTCGTTGATGCTACTAGGCAGTTTAAGCAGAGTATTGTTAAAACCTCTGTTTCAGAGGTGATTCCAGTCTGCCGGCAAGTGTCGATAATTGCGTAGATGATAAAAATAACAATACTCCTGCTGCTGCTGCTGCTATACGTGGAACTACGTAACTACACAGGATTAGGGTGCTTCATTTGTGTCACAGGAAAATAAATAAGAATGTGTCGTTCAGATAGCATCCAAGTCGAGGAAGAGTTGTTTTATATATAAAAGTAATTGTATTAAAAATAATAATAAAAAAAAGTGTAAAAGTATGATGGATATATTTCAAGAAGTACACAGGCTTGTTACTCGGTCAAAATTATCAAAAGCATCCCCCAAAAAAAAAAAAAAGGCAAAAGCTAAATGAATCTCAAGAGTGTGAAAGTAAATTGCCAAGATAAACAGCTGCTTAACTATTCGATCAGTTGTTTAAATAGAAACCCAGGAAATAAAAAACCCAGGAAACGATTGACTGATTCCTGAAAATCACAAAACGAGTTGATCAATTCTAAAAAGCAGTACAAGAACTCAGAAAGCAATAAGAGCAATGACACCTCATGACTATAGGAAGCGCAAATGAACTTGAGTGCAGCTGAAAGATGATACTTGATTCTAGCTTAACCAACCAAGACCAAACCAGCTCAAAAATCTCATCTCAAACATTCTGATGAGATTCATAAAACCGATGAAAAACTAACTTATTTCTCTCGTATCAAATAAAGTAAATTATTATGGTTGAGAGGACTAATTCAACAAGATGTATGGACTCTTGTTTTTCAAGTGTGTGTATGTCTATTGAAGCAGAGGTCGCTATGTCTTAAAAGACCAACTCAGAAGGATCTTGCTCGTTATAATACCCTAAATTATAGCGAAAAAAAGGCATCGACAAAACTCAACTTGCGACCCATAAAAAATATTGATTAATATTTAAGAATGTATTTTTATCAGGGTTTTATATCATCATTTTACACTTAAAGTATCAATAACTCCTCAGCTAGAGCATATTTTATAATATCATGTCTAATACTATAAGATACCTTTAATTTATGGTAAATGTTCATCTTAAATGCAAGCCTATCATATAATTGATGTGTTTAACTTCTGAAATTTGAAAGACAAGGAGAGAGTCAAGCTTAAAAAAAAAAAATACTGGTTCGGTTCAAACTGAAACATTGTTCGGTCATTGGATCATAACTAGAGCTATAGAACTTGGATTTAGGTCTGCTCTATATGGATGGAAAGCTAAGACATATGCTCATAGGAGTCTAAGACTCAAAAAGTCTGTTTTCAAGTTCAAATTGTAGTAACAACGGAGAAGTTCGAATTTGTCTTTTAGCTCAGACACTATTCAGTATTCAAACTATATCTCGAGTTCTAAAAGTCCAAATGACCTCATTTTTTTTTGTTAGAAAGCTGAGATAATTTCTTAGAACTTTTATATGGACAGTCTGTTCAAATTCTAATGCTAGCAATGATGTTTTGATCAGATAAGAAGATAAGGATTGACACCAAGTCAAGATGTGGCCACCCACTCAACAATTAATCAATAAATCAATAGTTTCAAATTTTGGCTTATAAAAGGAGACATTTGCCATGCATTTAGGTATCTTCGTTTTCAGATCAAGATCATATTTTTGCTCTTTTTCTTTATATTTTTGTAATGCTTAAGTTTTGCTTTTATTAATATCTTG